GGGAACCTTACTTCATTGTTGGTGGGAGTATAAACTTGTTCAACCACTTTGGAAAGCAGTATGGAAGTTCCTCAAAAGACTTCACATAGAGCTCCCCTATGACCCAGCAATCCTACTTTTGGGCATTTACCCAAATGTTTACAAACAAGACCACACTAAAGCTACCAGCACAACTATGTTTATTGCAGCATTATTTACCATAGCTAAGATATGGAACCAACCCAGATGCCCCTCAGTAGATGAATGGATCAAGAAAATGTACACAATATATACACAATGGAATTCTATGCCTCCATCAGAAAGAATGACATTTCCCCATTTGTTAGGAAATGGAAAGGCTTGGAAAAAAATTATATTAAGTGAAGTAAGCCAAGCCCAAAGAAGCATAGGTCCCATGGTTTCCCTTATTTGCAATATCTAGTATATGTATGAGTCAAGCAGAAAAGGTCAGATAATGTGATGTTAGGAAAATGAACCCTTAGATATGTATTTAAATGTTTTTTCTTTCATGCATTTGTTTCTAAAGCATTTATAAGATTATTTCTTTGTTGCTTTGTATGTCCCTCTCCTACAGTATAACCCCTGCTTTCACTATATTTGATGTCGGTATAATTTGTGGAAGAGATGGGTAAAACAAGTCATTTAAGGATACAGGTGGACCCGTTGCAACAATGAGAAGTACAAGTTGTCATGCTGAAAACGAACTTCACAACTTTGGTGCGGGGGTGGGGGGGTGGGGGGGATTGGGTGGGGGGCGGGGGGGAGGCTGGGAAGAGATGTGAAGGGAAAAAAAAGGAAGAGGCTGCAATGCTTGATAAGAAATGTACTCATTATCTTGCCCATGTAATTGTAACCTCTGTACAGTATGTTCACAAAAAATAAAAACAAAAATTAAAAAAATTCTCCCCTTTTATGTTGTTTGAAATTTTTTGTCAACAGATAAAATTTGATAGTAATGTGAAAAGTTTAAGATAATTGTACAGGAAACTGACTTAGAATGGAGCAAATTGTGTTTGTTTCTTTCTCATATATATTGGCAGGAAATAGAACAGAAACAACAAAAGCATCTTTTCAATTATCTTGGTGATCCTCCCCACCCTATTCCCTAAAGAACTACCAGTGTCTATAAAAGCAGATTAGCGGATTTTCAGTCCTCCTGAGAGGTTACATTTCCCAGACACTTGACAGTGTCCTATTCTAGGGAATGGGGAAGAGAGTTGGTAAACTACAGATGGAGCTGCTCACATTCTATGCTCCTGATAAGGTCTTAGTGGCTTGGTTAGTCCTCTGGCAGAGGCTAGACCAATGCTATTTACCCAATGCACTTGAGATTAAGAAGTTACATTTAATAGGGAAGAAGAATTCTATGTTGTTTGTAAAAGATATGATGGTATATAAAAATCTTTCTTTGATAAACAATTTCTGATTTTTTAATATAATTTCATTTCTATTTAAGCTCCTCCTACACAAAAGAAGTCAATACAGAATAGCAGTGAAAGCAGAGATTTTGAGGTTTGAAGGCGGAACCCCACCTTTGGGGTCTTCATTCATCATTTATAAAAAAGTGGGTCAAGGTCAGGTGCTGGTGGCTCGTGTCTGTAATCCTAATTACTCAGAAGACTGAGAGCTAAGGATCATGGTTTGAAGCCAATTTGATCAGGAAAACTGGGAGTTTCTTATCTCCAATTTAGCACCAAAAAAAAAAAAAAAAAAGCTGGAATGGAGCTGTGGCTCAAGTGATAGAGAGTAATAACCTTGAGTGCTAAAGTTTAAGGACAGTGCCTAGGCCCTATGTTCAAACCCAGGACCAGCATGCGCGCGCACACACACACACACACACACACACACACACACACACATGCCTGCTCACAGAACAGGCCAATAAATAGATGAATAAATGTATATATATATATATATAGAAGATAGATAGATAGATTCTATATATAGATATATAATAATATAGATTCTATATATAGATATATGAAATAATATAAATCCTTATCAAAATCTCAGCTTTTTTGCAGAAATTAATATATCAATATTTCTGTATTCATATGGAATTGTGAGAAATCCTTAATAACCCAAATAATCTTAATAAGGAACAAAGTAGAGAGTGTCCACTTGTAATTTGAAAATACTTATAATTTATGAAAGTGGCACTGTGGCTCAACTGGTAGAATGCTTACCTTGAGCTGAAGAGCTCAGGGACAGTGCCCAAGCCCAGAGTTCAAGCCCCATGACTGACAAAAAACAAACAACAACAAAAAAAACCATGATTTTAAAACTTACTAAATGCATTGTTGGTGGGAATGTAAGCTTGTTCAACCACTTTGGAAAGCATTATGGAGGTTCCTCAAAAGACTTCACATAGAGCTCCCCTATGACCCAGCAATCACACTCTTTGGCATTTACCCTAATGATCATAAACAAGGGTATACTAAAGTTACCAGCACATCTATATTTATCACAGCATTATTCACCATAGCTAAGATATAGAATCAACCCAGATGCAGCTCAGTAGATTAATGGATCAAGAAAATGTGGTATACACACACACACACACACACACACACACACACACACACACACACACACACACACACACACACACATATAATAGAATTCTATGCCTCCATCAGAAAGCATGACACCGCCCCATTTGTTAGGAAATGAAAAACTTGGAAAAAATTATATTAAGTGAAGTAAGCCAAGCCCAAAGAAACATAGGTCCCATGGGTTCCCTTATTTGCAATAACTAGTATATGTCTAGGACAAGCAGAAAAGGTCAAAAGCTATGTACATATGACCATATAAGATGATGTTAAGCGAAATGAACCCCAAGATAGGGACACAAGTGGTTTTTTCTTTCTTGCTATTGTTTTTAACGTACTTACAATGTACTATGTGATTTTTTTGTTTCTCCTGTATGTTCTTCCCCCATGGTATAACCTCTGTTTTCACTGTATTTGATTCCAGTGCCCTGCATCTTGTATGTACACTTTTCTAATTTGGGGAGGGGAGGGGAAAAACCAAAATGCTTAAATAGGGATACAGGTTGACTCATTGTAACAATGAGATGTACAAGACACTATGTTGAAAATGAATTTTACAACTTGTTTGCGGGGAAGGGAGGTATTGGGAAGGTAGGGAGGGAAGGAATGGGAGGGGAAAAACAAAGGAGGAGGTAACAATGCTTGATAGGAAATGCACTCATTACCTTACTCATGTAACTGTAACCCCTCTGTACACTATTTTTACAATAAAAATGTATTAAAAAACTTACTACAAAGTTACAGATCATGTAATAGTTGCATAGGATAGATATTTAGATTATGGAATAAAGTGTTTAGAGACAGATCTTTGCATTTATGGTCATTACTAATTAATCTAGAGTGCCAAAGAAATTTAGTAAAAAAATAATAGTCTTCAATAAATGATGCTGGGACAACTAGACATCCATTAATAAATATAGCACGAAGTTAGATCCCTATCTCATATAAAAATTTAACTTAAAATGATTATATGCTTAAATATAGAAACTGAAATAACTTTTAGAAAAGACCATTAGGTGTAAATTGTTTGTGATTTTGATTTAGGCAATGACTTATTAAATGTGGCACCACAAACACAACTATAAACAAATAACTGGACTTAATAAAAAATTTAAAAACATTTGATGCATCAAAGTACACTATAAAGTCTAAGTAGACTTTATTTGTAAATCAAATACATCATAAAAGTAAACCAAATATATCATAGGGTAGAATATCCAGAATATAAAAGAATTATTACATCTGAGTTCAAATCCCAGGACCAACACACACACACACACACACACACACACACTCACACACGCACACACACAAGTTTATCAGGTGACCCCACAGTCCTACTCTGGTATATATAAAAATATTGTTCACAGATGATTGAAAATATGTCCATACAAAATGCTGAAAGAAGGATACAGGTTGACACATTGTAACAATGAGACATACAAGACACTGTTGAAAATGAACTTTACAACTTCGGGGCTGGGGAAGGAGGAGTCGGGGAGGTGGGGAGGGAAGGGATAATAGGGCAAAAACAAAGGAGGACTAATAGTGCTCGATAGGAAATGTACTCATTACCTTACTCATGTAACTATAACCCCTCTGGACAGTATCTTTACAATAAAAATATTTGAAAAATATGTCCATACACAATCTTGGATTCAAATGTTCACAGCATAATTGTTTATAGTGTCTGAAAAGGGAAAACAACTCCAATGTCCATCAACTGTTAAATGGATAAAAACTCTGGTATTTCTAGTAAATGAAGTAATTAGATAAAATTTTTGCAGTATGATGAATCTTGGAAACAAAATACTAAGTGAAAGAAGTCAGACAGATCACATTGAGATAGGCCAATCCATAAAGATAGAACATCAGGAGTCAGATCAACGTGCAGTTTGTGGTGTGTGTGTGTGTGTGGTGTGTGTGTGTGTGTGTGTGTGTGTGTGCGCGCACGCGCGTGTGCGCATGGAGAGGTGGAGGGCACAGGGAACTTCTAATGCTATGGAGTTTCCTTGTGGAGTGATGAAATGCTTTGGAATTGGGTTATAGCAATGGTTGTATAAACTTGTGAATATGTCAAAGCCTACAAAACCAAATATATTAAATGGTGAAGTTTTGTGGGATGTGATTATATCTTTTTTTTTTTTAAGTGAGAAAGTGTGTGGTTTGCACACTCAGACTCTGGTATTAGTTTGATGGTGGCAGTCCTCATGCTTCTCTGTCTCATCTGATGAGCTGCAGGTTGTTGTTAGCGGAAAACCTGTTCTTGCCTCCCATGAGTCAGGCCTTTCTCAGCATCTCCTGGGGAGGCATGCATGGAGAAGTTTCAAGGATGCAGAAATCTATGCACTTGTTTTTGCTGCTATTTATTTATGCTTATGCCATGTGTTTCTGTGGTTAAATGGCACCTCATTTTCTCCATTTCTCTGCTACCCCACTTTCCCATAGGTTTGGTTCTGTGACTCCAGATGGACAGTACTATTTGTCTATTAAGAACAAGTATGCGAGATTCAATGTGATGCTGGCAGCACTGACCTCTTCAAGATTAGCGGTGGCCTTCCAAGCTATGGGCAGTATGAAGGTAATGACTCTGATTTTATTCACTTTACCATTTATTCACTTCATATTCTTGGAATGGGTAGCAATGTCAGAAGCTGAGTTGGCACAATGTGGCCAGGGGTAGTTCCCTGCTAGGTTGTGACAGCTGACCTTATACACAAGACCTTTTTTTTTGCAATAGTATGCCATCCAGTTGCATCTCAGATGGCTTTTGCTAGTCACAGTGAGTGGAACCTGCCCATTGTGGTAACAGAGCCACAAAAGATGATCCAAGGAGATTGGCTGGCTTAGGACAAGCAGGTCTCCTGGAGAGTGTTATTTTTCTCCCTGGGTCCTCTGGTCTATAAGAAAAAGCCTGCTTTAACCTCCACTGAGATTCATAAAGGTGAAAAAATATAGACACCCCAAGAATACCTACTTGGGGCTTGAGTACAGCTTTTCCATCAAGCAGGAATACATTTCAGCCACCTGACTTCAAGGTTGCTATCAGCCTGCAGAAGTCTGAATGGCATAGAAATTCTTTGTCACTCATTTCTGCTAGGTCTGCTGTGCTTCACAGGCACAGGGACCCTGGTGGCTTTGAACCTAGCCACCTTACACCCGCCCATGGCCCCATTCCCCTGCTTGTTTTGTGGTGGCTTTTGCAATGGGGCAAGATGGATGTTTAACTCTCAGCTCCCTCCTCTGGAGTGGCTCAGGTAGTCTCTCTCTTTTTCTTTTTTTATTTTCTTTTTTGATTTCTGTCAGTCATGGGGCTTGAACTCAGGTCCTAGCTGCTGTCCCTGAGCTTTTTTCACTCAAGACCAGCACTCCACTATATTGAGCCACAGCACCACTTCTGGTTTTCTGGTGGTCAATTGTAGATAAGAATCTCATAGACTCTAATCTGCCTGGGCTGGCTTCAAACTGGGATCCTCAAATCTCAGCCTCCTGAGTAGCTAGGATTATAGATGTAGGCCACTGGTGCCCTTATCTGGTCTCACAGTGGAAGCTTCTGATGAATAGGAGCCCCAGAAGAACCTGCTGGTAGAACCGTAGAGCAGGCAGTATCCATATACCACAGAAAATAGTTTCTTCACAGCTGTGATTGAACCTGTCTCAGCCATCTTCAGGACCCCAGAAAGGGGCAGAAGGAGAGAAGCCAGAGGATCCAGAAATGCATTAAAAGGAAGAGATGGAAAGCCAGCCTAGGGTTGTCTAAAGCTATCACAGCAGTATCTGTGCCATCTGCTCAATATCTCCTAATCACAGTGATCTTCAAACAATTTTATCCCTTGTGACAATTGTTGGGCATAGTAGACATGCTGATTAGAGGCAGCAAAGGCTTCTGAGAAACTGCACCCCTGAAGGGGGTGGAGTGGATGATGGTATGAAGATGTCTACCCCTGCAAGCAGCCCTGATAGTTTTCTGAGGTCCGTGTGAAGCTGTGGGAGATCAGGTAGAGGCAATATGGACGGGGCCCGGGTCTTCCAGGAGAGACTTTGTTTTAAGTACCATCATATCTGGTGTAGTGTGGGGGCGATGGCCCCAGGAGAGGAGACACATGGGTGATTCTCCAATGGTTTTCCTCCATTTTGTTGAGTATTAGCCAGGGGCCAGCATCTGCTGACCCTGAGAGACTTGGGGGCTACATTTGGATCAATTCCTTGATAGGCATCTGTCTGGAATACTTTGTTCCTAGCAACACAGAGGCATGATCATGATCGTGGATTCTGAAATCAGAACCTTGAGCTTGAATTTCAATCTCATATGTGACTGCAGTGGGGCCATGGACAAGTCAGTCTTCGTTAGGCCTCGGTTTCTCCATCTTTTACATATGGAGTGGAATGTTGAAGGTGAGACATGAGTGGAGGGTGGTATGTGTAGCACTGGCACAGAGCAGAAGGTGCCTAGCTCAGAGCTGTCAATGAGATAGTGGTTGTTACTGTGATAGCTGCTGTTACTAGGAAGATAGAAGCTGACTGTAGGCAAGGAATAAATTAGCTTCCTTATTCACTGCTTAGAATCCTGGCCTCCAGGAAAGAGATCTGAAATGTTTTGGAGAGATGCATGGAATCTCAGATTCCTGAGTATCTCAATCAAACCACACTAACCTGGAATTGGTATTTGCTCTGTATATCTAGACCTTATCAAGGAATGGAGTTTCCAGAAAGTTAGTCAGCTTTCTATTTCTGTAACAAAATACCTGGAGTGATCACCAGAACAAAAGAGAAGGTTTATTTTGACTCACCACTTCAGAAGCTTCAGTTAGGAGTCAGTTGGCCCTGGGGTGAAGTAGTGCATCATTGCAGGGAACATGTGATGTAGGAAATGCTCATTTCATAGCAGCAGGGGAATGGAGAGACAGGAAAGAGATGTGGCCCTACTCTTCCCTCAAAGGTATATCCCCAGTGACCCAATTTCTCCCATTAGACCCTGCCTCCCAGAGGTTCCATGCCTTTCATTAGCACTGTGGGCTGGAAACAAAGCTTTCAATATATACATCTTTGGGGGACATTACATTCCAAGGAAGATGGGGACCCTGCACAGAACCTAGCAGAGATCAGACCCTGCTTGGTCCATGCACTGTGTTACACTGCCAGCCAGAAACCCAGTGACTGTTACTTCATTGTGAGGGTCTCTGGCAAGTATGATCTCAGCAGTTTCTTGGCAGCTCCTCTTCTCCTATGGCTCAGACACTTGACATAGGTTTTCCCGGTTGAAACCAATGACTTCTTGCTTCTTCTGATCTTGTTGATGAGTGGAAAAATGGATCCTTCTCTCCTATGTGCTTTCTTGATGTATTAGGAAACTGTCACCCCAGCTCTGTGCAGTGACATTCACTCAAGGCCACGCATGCCTGGTCCTTTTAAACTCTGCCCAGATGTCTTATTTTTCATGATTATCTCTCATTTCCATGGCATTCCTCAGTACTTTCAGATTTTCTCTCAAAGATTTTCTGCAATAGCCATCCTCTATTTTCGTATCCAAAATGCCGTGCCAAAGTAAATGCTTCGCAAGACGAGAAGGAAAAGGATGTTTGGTGAGGATGTGGGGAGAGGGGCAGAAGTGCTGAGAACTCTACAGCCAATGTAGAGGGGCTGAGAAGACTTTCCCCGGGGAGAAAGGAAGCTGGGGACACCTCTGTGAGTGAGGAGGTGGAGGTATAGGAAGTGAGAAGTATCTGTAAGAGCCAGCCCATCCCTTTGTTTTGACTCTGTACAGAGGGAAACTATTTTAGCACAAAAGAAGCTGGTCTTCTCCATTGTAACAATGAGACTGTTGAAAACAAACTTTACAACTTTGGCTGGGGGAGTGGGGGTAATTGTGGAGGCAGGAGGGAAGGGATGGTAGGGGAAAAACAAAGGAGGAGGCAACAATGCTTGATAGGAAATGTACTCATTACCTTGTTCATGTAACTGTAACTCCTCTGTACAGTATTTTTACAATAAAAAAACGTACAAAAAAAGCACGCTGGTCCTAACTCATAAGTGGTCTCCCTAAGGGAGACTTTTAGAGACCGGGTTGCCTCCCACCATTGTCTCACTTCAAATGATCTCCAGGTGCTGCCAATGTTGTAGTTGGCATGTGCACCTTGAGAACCCTGGTGCACAGCAGAAAAGGACATCATCTCATCCACCTTGTCACCCTCTGTGACCTGTCAGTACCCTGAAGATCAAGGGCCAAATTGCCTCATTGACCCCTTATTCTCATTTCAATGGCTCCCTGTACCATGCTTTTCTTCATGGTGTGTGTGTGTGTGTGTGTGTGTGTGTCTTTTGGATGATGCTGTGACATCTAGGATGCTTACTTCTATATTGTGCATGGCTAATTCTTATGTAAATTTCAGTTTTCTTGCATCTATGACTTCCTGAGAAAGGTGCCAGCCCGCATGCACCCCCTCTATCATCACTTCCTAAACCCTGCTGCCTCCCTTGCAGCATTTATAGAGCTTAGAGCCACAGCAGTCACATGCAGGCATCACAGTTCAGTCAGTAACACATGGCCATGTGACTATTCAGAGATTTTGTGTATAAAGAGATGATTAAGATGACATGAGATCATAGGGCTAGAGTCAGAATTTGATAAGATTGGTGGCCAGCTAAGAAGAGGTGACATCAGAGCTCTCTGCTTGTCCTCATGTGCATAGAGGAAAGGCCATGTGAGGACAGATGGAGAGAGCAGAAGTTGGTAAGCCAGGATGCCACCTTGAACTTGGATTTCCAGAGTTTAGAAACTGAGGGAACTATACTTCTGTTGTCTCACCACTTGCTGAGACAGACTAATGTATTAATAGCAAACTAGTGACCAGTGAGATGTTGGCCAGTGAGGCCTTCCAACAGGGTACTCATGAAGCAGGGCATTTTGCAGTTGGTAGGAGCCAGTTCGCGCCACCTCCTTTTCTCATTCCAGGACCCAGCCCAGTATAAAGTTATCAGTTGAGATGAGTTGAGGGGAATTGACATGCACATAAACAGTTGGCATGTTGTGCTTGTCTCAAATGCCACAGTGCAGCCATTAAGAGTGTAGACCCTGGGCCTCGCCTCTCTGAGCTTGCATCTTGCCTCTGGATGAGCTTGGAAGTCACGGGTCTCTAAGGTAGAGCTGCTGGAAGCCTGGAGGGGGTCAGAATATGTAAAGTCACATCAGGCTGTGGCAAAGAGGGCATGTGACATGCTCATCCCAGGGCAGTGGCTTCTCAAAGCCCAGGTGAGGAGTGAGGCTAAGTCTGTTCCTTTGTCAATGTGTAGCAAGGCCAGTCCTCAGTCATGTTTTTGAAGAACAGTGTCGGTGAGTCAAAAGCACTGGCTCCTCCCTCATTAGTTGTGTCTTTTTTCCAAAGTGTTATGTGTGCTTTGATGAAGCAGTATCACATTGCTCATCTTGTTCTCCTCAGGCTGGTGCCTTTCTTTCTCCAGCATCCCACACCCCTCTCCTACCCTGCTCACACACAGTCACAGAAGTGGGGAGCAGAGCATCAGGATCTGCTCAGTTGCTGGGAAAGCCAAAGACTGGATGAACCTCAAAGGGGCCATGTGTGA